AAGAGGAATATTTAAACAAAATTCAATATTGATTGCAAGTTAAATTTTAATAGATAAACTTTCTTTGTAATTATTAATAAAACACGTGAACAATATTATATTATTATAATTATAAATCATATTTAATGTGAGATACACGTGAGTTGTTGTTATCTCACATGATGTGAGATGACAACAAAAATTATAACAAGTTATGAGATCATATTTTATTTTTAAAAATTGTACTTTTTTACCGAATATATTTTATGAATATTATCTGGTTTTCAAATAAAAAATTGTTTATGTTAGTTGAAAATTATATTTCATACTTGTTATTTTCATTTATTATTTTACATTTATTATTTTCACACTTCAAACAGTGGCATGTCCTTAATTTGAGATAAAATTTGAGAGGTATTGTAAAATTGGATGAAGAGTTAAAATTTAGAACAGTCTTTCTTATTTGGAACGATTGATCACTTTAGTGTACACAAATCGTTTTTTACAAAAACTTAACAAAATCTTTAAATAAACGCTTGCATCACTTAAAATTATTCTATTTTTAGATATAATAGTTTAATGAATAGAGAAGAGAGTAAGTGGCAAATAAAAAACTGGCGAGAAATATTAGAAATCTAGAGAAATACTAGAAATCTAGAAATTATAATACATTGCGGCATATAAATAATACCTAAAATAAAATATATGTAGCTTCTTCAATATAATTAAAATTATAATACATACAATTACTGTCGCAATTCCCATATGCTGCATTTGATACTATATCATGTTTTTAAAAGATAAACGAAAATATTTTAAAATAAATTTAAAATTATTCTTAAATTTATCACATTATGATTCAATTTTTAATAATTACATATTTAGAAATTTCAAAAATAATGATCTTGAACAAACCTTTTACAATAGTTATTATTTATTATTATAAGTTATTTCTACAAGACATACAGCATTTCGAACAATATTTTTGTACAAAATGAACTTATTAAAGGCTCTCAAAATTGAAAATTAATTAAAAATTGCAGCAAATGAGAGTACGGCGCAGAAATTGGTGCGCAAATTTTATATAAATTTTTTATAAATTAAATAAAAACTATATTTGACTTGCTTCACATCGAACGTTTCGGCCACACTGGTTTAACGATTCTGGCTTTTACATTGTTGACAACTTTATAACGTTTTGAATTTATTTTATAATTAATATATCTGACATTGGAAATTTTTTCATTTTTTAATTATCTTACTCTTGCCTGTAGATTTCTTTTTTTTTATATTATTACTAACTTAAAGAATCATGTTAAAATATTTTGAATTATAACTGAGCAGAAACTCTCACCTATTATGCGGAAGTGTTACAATCTCTTTGTGTTTCATTGAGGATGTGCCCGAAACATTCAATGTATGAAACAAGTTCAATATAATTTTTATTTATAAAAAATTTATATAAAATTTGCATATCAATTACTGTGCCGTACTTTCATGTGCCCTGATTTCTGATTAATTTTCAATATTTTTTAAAAATAATAGTAATAAAGACGTATAGGTGTTTTCTAATTATTTATTATAGATGAAATTTAATATTGGTTACGTTCTAAAATTCATTGCCAGCGCTAAAAATCTACAGTTTACGTTACTATACATTTTCAGCACTGGCAGTGAATTTTGAAACACAGTATTGTATTAATTTATGCGAAACTTATTTAAAAAATAATTCGTATGTAGGGACAATAATGCTACGTATGAAAGAGAGAGAGAGAGAGAGAGAGAGAGAGAGAGAATGGCATATTCTCTTTTCAAAATAATGAGCTTCAGACAATGATCTTTACCACTTTTAAATTATTCATGCTTATATTAATCAATGTTCGGGATATCCGTGTTCTAATCGCGTTTAAAAGTGACAATTGTTCATTTTCCTATAGATCTCAAGCACACCCTGTGCGGATACACCATAACGTAACATGCTGTTCCTTTTATGACGTGGCAGATCGCAGATGCAGGTGCGTACATGTTTTGTCAATGATGGTACGTTGACATTGTACATAGTAATACACACGTATTGTAATCAGTGATGTATTTCTTTTTCGCAGGACCCTTGGTTTCCGTACGCACAAATAAAATGCATATTCAACGTATTTCTATGCGCGCGTTGCATATTTATAACAAGTTTGATAATTTTAAAAACAGTGATTATATATATATATATATATAATTATTACATAAAATAATAACTATTTAATGTCAGCAATTTCCAATTACTACTCATATTTGTATTTATATCTATTATTAGAACATAACACACGTTGTGAAATAAATCTAAAGCTAATAAAAGAGAGACACGTAATAAAATTTGTTTTATTTTATTTTATGTGTGTTTAATTTTAATATAAAGAGTGTCCCGAAATTTGCAAATTAAAATATTATAAGAAAAAATAAGTAAAAATATTATCTATAAATTTTTAGCTTAGTTTTTGAGATATAAGGATTATGGGAAATTACAGATTATGTTTAGGCAGCTGTTTGTTCATGAATCGCGCACGTACAGTAAATTAGTGAACGCTGGTGAGCGTGCTTACTAATAATATTCACAGGTACATGACTATCTAAACGTAATCTTTATTATATAAAAAATTATTGCTTAAAATAAAAATTTGCAAATAACTTTTTTACTTAATTTTTTGAGAATTTTTTTGCTATAATATTTTCATGAATCTCGGGACACCATGTAATTAATTTTTATATACACACAATAAATGGTTAATCTTTTTTTTCCTCTAACATATTCTTCTCGAAATATTTTTATAAAATTTGGATATATGCTAATAGAGAAGATAAGGTAGTATTATGGCTAATATAGATCTAATCTCAAGAACAAAGTCACGATAACATCAAAATGACATTAAAATGAATTGGAAATGATTGAAAAATTACTTTTAATGATCATTTTGGAGTCATTTTAACATCATTTTGATATCATAATGACTTGTTGTTCTATTTAGGATATGGCTCCTCTTAATAACTCCGCTATTAAGTGGCGAATTTTAGCAATTACTTATGGAATTATTTGCTTAGCAGCTCGCTGTTTCAGTACGATGCTAATATACAATACACAATACCAATACACAATAGTTAGCATTTACTATAACATATTTTTTCAAATATTTTGAAACATTTTTAAAATATAGCATTTAATTTAGCTTTAGCATTTAATTACGCATATTTCCCCATTCTTCTTAAATTTAAATGTATTATCACATGAATATATGTCTGTTTAAATGTGTTCTTTGTTATTTAACATTTTATTCGGCTGTATACAGTTATGCAAAATAAAACAGTAGTATCACATTTTGCTAATGTGTGCTCTCTAAATGTATTGATTACTGACTATCCCTTTTTCGAAGTTTTCATATTAAAATATTTATTCCATAAATCGATTATAGCTCCACTACAATCTACATACAGTTTACATATCTACATACAGTTTATATGTATATTTTTAGTACTGAACAGTCTATATGCTGAAGGAGTTACATACATTTGCATAATTTGAATATATATACTCTTCTATATATATTTTACTTTTTTATTAATTTTGTAATTCTTGTTTTTTTTTAAGCCAAACCAATTTTTTAAATTTATTTTTGTTGAAGGCCATATTACTTCTGTTTCTTTTCGAGCGATTATACAATATCGCCATATTTTTTATAAATAACGTTCTAAGTAATAAATATTTCGTAACTTTGAATCTAGAACCGATTGAATAACATTTTGACAAATGTAATTGTTAAGTTTTAAATTCAAAAATTGATTATTAACCAAATTATTGTACAAAAGTAAATGGGATGCCATAATACCACCTTCTCCTCTAATAATTTGTCAAAAATAAATTATTCTGTAGTATAAACATATACTACAGGATAATTAATAAAATGTAATTTATTATGTAGCATACATAATAAAATTTTATTAAAGCTAATTGAATTTGATCGACCTTAATCCTTTTTCTCAAAGCGCTCGTTAAATATCACATTTTTTTTTATTTTGACGATTACAAGGCATTATAGTATACTTCAAAAGAAAACGCATTTAATTTGAAATACGGGGACATTCATATTAAAACTTATAGGGTTTGTTTATACTGTAAGTGTTTACAGTTCGGCTAATCGTAGTTGCAGTAATTGATTGGAGTAATCATCTAATTGGGAACTGAATAGATATCATTATTTCTTATATTAGATCTGTTTAATTATAAAATTTACATTCTTCATTTTTAATGCTTTCATTCAGTATCAATTCCAAATATATATAAACATTTTCCTTATTATATATATATATAATATCATGCCAATCTCATTTTTAATTAAGAGAATAATTCATTTGGATAATATGTTTGATATTGTTTCTTTTATCTATTTTAATTCTATTTTCCGTAATAAAATAAATATATGGCATCAATATTTACGAACGATTTAGCTGTGCATTGTTATGATGTCTGCCCTTCATTTGATTTCCCATAGTTTATCCGACGCGATTCAGAAAACCACGAATACGATTTCCTCAACTGAACCGTCGAACAAATTGGGGGCTAAGGTCAGCTCACGTGTATGTGACCTTAGTAGCCGCCATGGCAGGCGTGTGCGCGGCTCGCAGCGACTGTTCGATTAGTGGTCCACTCCACTCCCTTGATCGCACCGGGACGAGCTAGGCGCGTGTAATGTGAGTCACACACAGAGACCGATCTGAATTGACCACATCCTGCCCATTTTGTCATGTGACATTAATGTCATTGCCGTCCTGACGGAGAATTTCGAGCGAAATAGACGGAAGAATCAGCGTCATACTTCTCGACACTTAAGTATCCCGACCTCGTACGGAAACGACTTGCTTCCGTGAAATGTGAGATTACACATTTATTAATTCAGACTGTTACAAGATTACTAGACCGATTTATTATTATCGCGCGAGCGGTTCTTTTTCTAGATAGCAAAATCCTTATTACAATTGTAGAAGATTTTACATAAAGTAATATTAAAAAAAAATAAATTAAATCTTCTGAAATGAGATATAATTTCCTTTTATTTCTGCTGTTATGTAATAAAATAAATTTGAACAATTCTGTAGATCCGATTTATTTTCCATAACACATTTCAAGTATAATGATGTCATTATACAATCATACCTATCGTGTGTCTTATTAGCCAATTGTGTTTAAATCTTTCGCCGTCTACAATAACACATCTGCATCTTGAAAAGAATGTCACATAGAATAGGAGTCAAAATGTAATCATCATCTAGATAATTTGAAGTATAAAGTGAAACAGATAGAACTTTTAAGCGTAGTAAATTTGCAATTTTTATAAACATTTTTGTGAGAATTTTGTAACAAAATTGTGGGATATTTTTACATATCATCAAAAAAAGAGGAGAATTTATGCTGTCGGGAGTTTTCGACTCTAAATTTCATTCTAAACTATTAGAAATGAATTCTATTATTATACGGAATCTATTGAAATCAAGTAATATTTATTAGCTTAAACGTATTTTAATACCTATTTATCTTGTATATTGCAAATTTCATAACTATTTTGAAAAACAATTATGTATTTTCTTCACATGAATTTATTTATCTCATTATTCTGAAAAATATTAAGAGAAGTATGACAGAAATAAGATATGTGATTATTAAGAAATTAATAGAGTTTACAAGATATTAATTTAATAGTTTATATTAAAATATACCAAAATAAAGAATACGATATCTTTGAAATTATTGATTTCTTTGTAATTTTACTTTTATGTACAGAATAATTAAAAGAATCATATTATGTAAAAATATCATACAACTTTATTTTAAAAAATATTTCAGATGAAAAAATCATATTGTCTAAAGGGGATGAACAATGGTGAAACTTAACTTTCAGTGTAAGCGATCAAAGTGATAAAAAAAGAAAATAACTTTTCTCAAATCATATTTAAAATTCGGAAAAAGTTTATTTAAAAAAAGGTTTATTAATCAAAATATCACATGAAAAAAAGAATAAAAAAAGAATAAAATAATTCGAATATATTGATTCTGTGATGCAAATATAAAGATAATAAGAATTCAAGAAACATAATAGACAACACGCATGTCCGAAACGAGACATAAAACGTCTCAAAAACATTTTAAAGAATATTTTAAAGACGTCTAAAAAACAACTTTAAGACATCTTATGTCTTGATTTTGTTATGATTTTTTGTTATCAGGGAAAGATATGTTTGTTCGTTAAAGATAGTTTTCCAACTGCATTCTCTACCTTAAATTATCGCAGAGGATTGGTACTTGTAACAGGATACATTTGATCAAACTGATAAAAGAGAACTAATGATACCTATATGACACAGGTAGCATCAATCACATAACGCCCAATACAACAACTTGTTAACAATTATCAGTCATCAAGGATGACAGTATATAATTACGGTAAATCTAGATATATCTAGATTATACAGTTACTTTAATCAACAACAACAAGGTTATATCGCAATATGTCTAAATAACGCTAGAATCTGCTTTAAAGTGCAGTCGTATGTAGGAGATCACTGTCTATATTACGAAAAAATAAACTTCTAATATTTAATATCAGCTGCATATGCAAGGATTATGATGTCCTTGACAAACTAGATGAATGCTTATTCTTAATAACGTGCACGAGTTTCAGTAGTCTTCTTCAGTGTTGCGCTTAGATGACTAAATAAAAATTATCTAAATAAAAATAAAATAAATCATACGTATCTAAGATTATCTAAGATTTATCTTATATAACGATGATTTGCTAATATTTTTAAGATAATAAAAATGGGGGTAGCTAATACATATTCTAATAATCTAAACAAAAAAAACATAAAAGAATTTCTTTATTTAGATAATTTTATCTAGATAACAGCAAACACTGCTCCTCTTAAATTTGTTGTTTTTCCTTTCAAGATTTGTTTTTTCTTTTTTTTTTTTAATTTTAATGCGTTCAAATATTTTCCTCGTACATGAACAGTTTTCAAAATGTGAAAGCAAATAGAATATGTTAGAAAGCGGAGTATAGAATATAAAATCGGATATAGATGATTAAAATAATATCTTAGAATTGTCTATAAAATTATCCTAAACAAATCTTAACTAATTACCCAGAGCGCAGGACATTTTATAGATGTCTATTTTATGTTCATTTTACGTCCGTATATCCATGAATATGAAATGAACATCGATCATTCGATTTGGACATCCACAGTACATGTACATAGGATGACTCATATTCAATGTAGTTCGAAGTTATACAAACGGACGTCCAATGGACGTCTGATCGACCAAAATTGAACGTGTATATACTAACGTTCATAGGACCTTCATTATATATTTTATATTTATGACATATATGCGCAATTATTTTATAAACAAAATTAAATCTTTTACTTTATTGTTAATAATGAACCTCAAAGATTACTATATAAATCTTTCACATCCAATATTTGATAACTAAATTATTAATTCTTAAGTATTAATATTAAATTATGAGACGTTACATATAATGTACTATATCGAATTTAATGAGCATTTAATTGTGTGTGTATATAAGATTATGCATTGATTGACATTTACAATACATAAAGTTATTATTACTCATCTTATTGAAATTTATTAATACTGATTATGTGAAATTTACTTTTATTATTGTATTATATCGATATTCTATTATTGTGTTATATCGATGTAATTATTTTATATGCAGTGAGTAAAAATATTTGAAAATTCCATATTATTTGGAATAATTTTATAAAAAACAAAAAAATTTTATTGCCAAGTGTCTATTAGAATACATCGTTTATTTGTCTAATACATTAAACAAAGCACATTATAGCGATATATTTCTTTTTGTAAAATTATCCCAAAAAGAATGGGTTATATAAATATTTTTTACCCATGTATATATAATAGGGATTAAAATTACTATTAATTTATCATCTCAATATTATTGTTCCTAGAAAAAAATAGCTCAAACAAAGTCGTGTTATTTCAAAGAAGGCACAAATTGTTTCTATTTGCAAAAAAAAGTTTAGTTTTCAGAATGGTCTTTGTTAAGAAAAAGTTCTTTCAATTCAACTTGTGTCTCATGAAACCATCTACCTTTTGTTTGATTTATTTTTCTCTGGAGATAATACTGATGTAAATTAAGATGATAATTTTAGCGCACTACGCTGAAACATTCAGAATGAGAATGAATTAAGTTCATAACTTGTAGAATACAAAATTGTATTCTAATGAAACTTTACATTTTCGCTCTAAATACTTCATGTATTTTCACTAAGAAGTAGCGAAATGTGAAATTATAATAACATTGTACATCTTTACGTACATCTATCATGTTCGTAAACAAGCTTTACTCAATGTACATGTATAACGTAATAAGACACTGCTTAAACACTCTCTTTATCCTACACAGCTTATCAATAATTCAACAACAAACAGTATCTAACAAGAATACATACGCATATAATATCAATCTTTTTAAACATATTTGCTAATGATATCTGATTAAATATTTTGTTAATTAAGTAATGCATTCTTCTGCTGTATATAAAGCGCTATTGCACGGATATTAAAATTCGGCTTAGCTTCAATTACAACATGGATGTACATATATGTAAGTATATGATATATGTAAATACGCGGATATATCTAGCGTATTGGTATACGTAATGAATCGTATTACAAGGTCCTTTTTTGTATTTATCTCGCTTTTATGATGTTTTTAAAACATTTTCTCAACATTTACACTTGAATGATAAATGTTAACTTGTTAATCGCGTTTCTGTATAATAAATGGTATGCAGAATAACCGAGATATCTAAATTTTGAATTGCAAAGAAAAAAGTCTTTTGATCTCGGTTTCAGTCAAAAAGCGCATCTCAAAAAGCAGATCATTGGATCCAAATGGTTGACTAAGTTTAAACACAATCAGCTTGAATTCGATGTGTACATATATTATTAAAGATTTATTTTGTTATTCTTTCTTTCTTTTTATTATGTATATATCAAATTTCACATATTCCATTTTCCCTCTTTTATCTTGCCTTTCTTATCTGCACATAATTCATCTGAATTTTATACTTTAACAATTAAAAACAAATCGATTGCATAAATAATAAATAATATGTAACCCATGCAGTACCCAACAGAATTTGCAGCAATATCGCTGCAAAATTTTTGCAATATTGCTGCAACATGCAATGTTGCTGCAACTTTTGTGTAACTTTGTGCTGTAGGGGAGCCATCCTCGTGTAGTATATTAGCATATTTTTTCGGTACTACATATATTTGTATATATAATTCGACATTTTACCATTTCCTTCTCTTTCTTTCATCTTTTTTTTCTGTTATCCTTTAACGTTTTTTATCCTGTAATATTTTTCAAATTTTAGAATGCCCATGGAAGATTATTCAAGAATCTATGCATTTAGCTATCTATAAGTATTCAAGAATCTTCGAATGCAAGGATGTTTCAAGAATCAACTTGAAAGTTTGCTAGCTGATTTATAAATTTTATAAGTTCAAAGACTTAAGATTCGTAAATCCAAAAATTTATAACGTCAGTAGTCTTACAAAGACTGCAATAGCTTTTTACATACATCTTATTTAAGATTATTTTGAGATCATTTCTGCGCATGTGGGCGGACATTAATTCTGGATATCTGGTGCGCATGCGTGAGATTATAACTTTAGGGCTGCGTTCCGTTTCACGCATGATGCGCATGCTGCATTATTTATCCTTGTTATTCATCGAATATTAAATAAGGATAAATGATGCATCATGCGCACCATGCGTGAAACAGAACGCAGCCTGAGTTAAAGATGCATGCTGCATTGGGCGCGTCGCTCAAAAATAGGAGAGAAAAGGGAACGAAATATAATATTAAAAAAATAGGCGTCTCCATTTTATTTATTATTCCCTATTACTGCCAACCGATATAGATTATAATTAGACCACGGATGTGTTTCAGATGTCAATGGCCGCTACTCGACGACCACGCAGGCGTTATATTCGTAAAAGAAAAAATTGTGAGCGTGAAGGGGAAGAAAAAATGTTATCTGGCGCAGTGGCTTTCATTGAAAGTCAAGCTTGCTACATCGAGTGAACCCGCGATCTAATTACAATTTCTTCTAAAGCTTTAGTTTCACCAAACTTTAGGCACGCGATACGCAGAGGAATTAAATAGATCACGTTACAATAATTACTATAATTACTGTAGCAACATCTCTCTTGCATAGTCCGAAAAATGTCGTATAATAGACAACTTTAAGATGTTATAAATAAGACGCACTTTTCAAAGAGTCGTAAGATATTCAATCGACATATTTAAAAACGCCTTTTTTGAAAAAATCTTAAAGATGTCTACAAAAGGACGTTTTACAGACATCTTTCTAGATGCTTGTATTATTCGAATAAATGTTAGGAAATTTATATCTCAAGATACATGATTGATTTAATTCTGATTTTTAACAAACAGGCGCTTAATAGACTTAAGACTATCATAAAGATATTAATCAAAAACTTACGAATAATAATAGGTTTAAGAAATTATGAAGAAATGATTATAAATCTGCGAATATATAGATGGATCTGTGCATGTGTGGATCGATGGATCTGTGAACCTGTAGATCCATGGATCTATTTTCTTTTATCAAGCTGTGATGCTATACACATTCGTATAGAAGCAAGGGTCTATGATGCTAAATGTGTGATCAGTGAATCTATGGATTAACAGATTTACGGATTTTAAGATCTATATTTTTATATAACCGATACTTATCTACTGTAATACATATTATTCGCACAGTATAATTAACCTAATAAAACTACATAAATTACTTGTACATAAAATTTGATACATCGTTTTCTTCAGGTTCTTTCTTTAAGTTCCATCAGGAGATGCTCGTATCAATAATCTAACATTCGTTTCTCAACATCTCGATCATTTAGATCTTCGGAATGTATTATCTTTTGTCCAATATAATATCGTGTTAATGCAGAAAAAAGAACGATTTTACCGATATTTTCTCTTAGCCGCAGAACTTAACAACTTATAGGATACAAGATTATGTGAACTAATATTAAATATTATATGATACAATATAAATATAAATAATATGCATTTCATATCGCGCCGCATAATTTCAAACAAATATAAATTTTTGTGTGCAATATATATATATATGTATATATATAACGCTTTACGTTAATCACGACTAAACGCCCATTTGTGATATATCGACAGTTAGGTTTAAGATCAAATGATGCCTTCGACTTAAGTACATTTAGAAATTAATCGTTTAGATTGGAATTAAGTACAATACTTATGGAGAGCTACCACGATCAGTATTACTATTAATACTTCAACAATTTTAATGCTTTAGCTATCGATATATTATATATCATTAATATAACATATTTATATTATTAGTATACGATCAATGTACATTTTTCGTACTATCACTATAAATGTAGTAATTACTGATCGCGAGTGCTCTTTGAAAATTGTTCTTCAAGTATAGACTTTAAAATTTCCTTCCGGTAATTTTATAGCGTTTTTCGCGGTATTCGCTTATTCAATAAGTACTAAATGCGCATATGAGAGTTCCTTTTATTATTGTTACAATGTATCTTGTCAATACTGTCCTGATAGTGTTGCAATTATTTGTTCTACAAACTTATACAACTAAAATATTTTTCAAATTGCAAATTAAACATTAATTAGCAAAATCAATAGATCCTTGGACTTACAGATTATTGTTTTTGGAAATTTTTTGTATTCGTAAATTTTTTAATTTGAATTTTTAGGTCCACGCACAGATCTTTAGATCTGTAGATTCTTGTTGATTCTTGCTGTTGATTTATAGATTCCTGAGTATATAGATTTTTGCCCTCATATATCCTCAGATAAGAAGATTCTTGGGCCCATATAGAGTCTTAGATGTACAGATCGTTGATATCACATAAATCTTTGAATTCATAAATTCTTTAAGTTTATATATCATGATCTGCATTTCTATATTTCATGCATCTTAACGCATCTTTGTTTTTATATATTTTTGCATCTTCGCGCACGCACATACAAACTCGGATATAAAATTTTGAACGTTTCACGCCTTTCTACACCAATATTCGTTTCAAATAAACTCATTTCTGATCAATCGTATTACTTTGTAAATTTTTTATCAGATTTTTATCAGGAGATTCTTAGATTTATGCATTATTACTAAACATCAAATTTTTTAAATTTTAACATCAAAATTAAAAAATACATCTAAATTTAAATTCTCGTAAATTTTCTAATTAATTGTATTCAATAAATTCAAGTAAATGTAATTGACATTTTTTTCTACTTCAAAATCTCATATCCATAGATCTTTGAGTTCGTGATTTTTTTCAAGAATTCTTTCAATTCTCACAGATCGTTGGATTTGAATAAATTCCTGTGAATGTAAATTTTTTTTTAAATTAAAATTATTGTCACTAATTCTCTTTATTTTCTTCATATACCATTCACAAATTGAAATATATTCTTTTGATAACCCAAAATATTTAAAAAATTTGCGAGTCCAAATCCGTAAATCCGAGCATTTATGAGCTCAAAAATTAGTAGATTCAACAATCTGTGAATCCGAGTGTCTCTGCATGCAAGAACCCATAGATTCCAAGAATTTCTATCGCATGAAAAATGCATTATATAGAATCATAGATCATCATACACATTCAACATATTGTGTGGCAATAACTATTGATCGCCTCTTTAATATCCGTATCTTTGCTTATACTTTTTCATCATACTCTGTAGCAGATTTCAATATAATAACACTTAATTTTAACTCTCAATTGAAAATATTCGGAACAAAGGAATACAAGTAACAATTGTTAACATACAAGACTTAAGTATCAATACAAGTATAGCAATGTAAATAAAATTTCCACCTATCGTATAATATAATCTATATCGTAATATAATCTGTATCTCATTAAACGTAAAAATCTGTATTTTAATAAACGTAACTTAAGTTGAGACAATTTTAATAACACAATTTACTAAAGTAAAAAAAATCTGATTGTTATACTTTAGTTATAAATCTCAGTGAGATTTTTTAACAAATTTTTTCCATTTTTATAAAGATTTTATCTTTGTTTCTTCAATACCAATATTTGGAAAAATTTCGAACATAGAAACTTCATACATAATTTATAACTTTATTTAACAATTCGATAAACAATTTCGCGTCGCTTGTGATTAATTTTCCCTTGTCATATTATTAACGTTATTCAAAGTTTTAAATACCATTACAAGTTATCATAGTTACTTAACAGCGATTAGTCCAACTGAACCTGACACGTACTTGTACCCCTTTGTACCTGCTGTCTTTTATTAAAATTTGCCAAGTACCACTTCTCTTATCAATGCCCAAAAATTTCAACATACTGACATGCCAAGATGTATCATAACGCGATGGGCAAAACACACTAATGTAATACATCTACATGGCTGAACTAAGATCATCGATCATCCGCAGTGCCATGACAATCGGCTGAGCTTGTCTTTGTGAAAAGAAATGTGTGTGACGCAAAGCTCAAGATATCTAACTGGAACGGTCGGTGGGCTCTTAACTAAGGGAAAACTTCTCTCTCTCTCTCTCTCTCTCTTTCTCTCTCTCTTTCTCTCTCGCGCGCGCGAATTAAGTTTTGCGAACGATCGACTAGCCGTCGATGGTCGAGATCACTCCCCGTGACACAACCCTGGCAGAAATAAGAGAAGATACCGCCCGGCTTTTGTGCGGGATTGTTCATTTCACCTTTCTTCCCTCCCGTTTAGTTTTGTGCATCTCGATTGTAGTTGATTGCTTCGTTGAGTTCATTTTCTTGTTTGTGTTGCTATTCCCTTTTGTTCAGTTTCTCTTTTTCCTTTCTCTTTATTTCTTTCTCTCGTCTTCCCTTTTTCTTTTTTTCCCTTTTGTATCCTTCTCTTGGCAATTGACATGATAGATGGATAACGCTGTTACAATCGTTGTAAGTACGACGAAGACGATGAGCTGATGAAATGATGATAGTGAGAAGAAGTAAGGCTAATCCGGAGCGGTATCGTCGGGCAGAGAGAAAACCGGATGGTACAGGGTGTGATCGCGGTCGGCCAACGAGGCAGGTTAAAAAAGAAATGTCTTCTTTCTGTTCTATTCTCTTGCGGCTTCCTACTTGGACGCGGTTAGTAGCGATGATGATCTGGCAATTGACAGGACTTAGTCCACCATCAATTCGAAGTGCACCGAGCCACGTCTCTCAAATCTGTCGTGGATGATGTTGTGCGCCCATGCCTTACATTCGATATTAATGAGTACGCCGTCTGTAATAAAATCAATAGATGTTAATTATTTCATTACATGTTACTACATACATGTTGGTCTTAATGGCTGCGTTCAAAGATAACTGATTAATAAGCGCTCAGTGATTTTTTAATATTGACTCCTATACTTAGATCCAGTAAAGAACTAAAGACAAATTGTATTAAAGAATCATTGAGCGCTCATTAATGAGTTTTCCCTTTTCTGCTAAATGCAGCCATTGACTTCCAACTTATAAACTCTAATAAACAAGATTCAACGATTTTTAGACATTTAAATTAAGTTTCAAATGTTGAAAGATAGAAGAGCTATCATAGTAATATATAAGAACTATTATATTAATGTATAAAAAATTGCTTTCTATTTCGAATATATTACGTTAATAATAAAATGTTAAAAATAAAATTAAGCGTATACGTACACTTGGGCTTTTCGAAGAACACAGCTACAAGAGGGCTCAAATATCCTTGGGTGTTCTTAAATGGGAAATAGTAGCCAGGAAAACCTCGACGTGGTATGTACTGAATTGCACCCATATTTTCCACATCGGCAGGGTTTTCACCAGCACAAGACACCCAAACAGTATCCAGTCTATTGGCTTTTTCTTCTTGTCTGATATGCTCCTTAAGATCTGCTGGCATCAAAGCCGGCAAATCTTTAGTATTGTTATAAAATTTCGGTTCCCATCCAAAAATCTAAAATAAATTTAAGATATGATTTTGTTAAATCGACATTTTTGTATAATTAATGTATCCAGTCATTTTAATTGCTTTCGAAATTTGAAATATTAAATGTATCTTTGAAAAACGATAAAGTTAATATTTTATATTCCTAAAAATTGATTTTTTTTTAGTAAGCCTAGAAAATGCTAAAACGTTTAATAAACTAACAAGAAAATTTTTAATTCAATAAGTCAATAAAATTTTAAAATATTCTTAATCTTTTTTTTTTGTTCATATATTATAGAAGAGAAAAAGATTTTTAAAAAATTAAAATCTAAATCTCAATTTAATATTCGATTTTTCTTCTTGATCTATAAACAAAGTTTCAATTTAAAGATTCAAAAAGAAAAAAATCAAATAAATAGGCAATTGGGAATTGGCTGTAAACGGTGTGCAGTTTTTGTTTCTATAAAATAATTCTATATTATGTCATTACTTGTATATGTTTTAGCTAATCTTTTAGCCTTCCTCAGCAAAAATTTCAATATAGATGCAATATTACAATATGTTGATTATCCATACGTCGTATAAAAATGAGAAGGAACTTTTCCTCAGTAAAATATCGATACTGTTCTATATCACTGGTCTTTGTCGTTTTCTTTTTAACCAGTGACAATTTTCTTTTTAACAATTTTGTTAAATTATATTATCATTTATTCAACTTTATTACACATTTATCATTGCCTACGCCGATAATTTTATCATGACTAATTTATTATAACTATTGACTTTGTTATTGTAATAATTGACCAATATAATCATCGGTTACATTATGGGATTTCCAGTCATTCACTACTATCCAGCTTTCAAACTGGAGAATTTTATTCTATTATGGAGGAATGTTACTGCCACGCAATGATATCGATTGTTATTTCATTATATAATGATTTTTATATGACGAATGGATAATCAACGTATTGTAATATTGCATACTGAAATTTTTGCTAAGGAAGGAAATTTAGTTCGTAATTTATTTACCACTTTCAATTTAAAGAGTTCTATGAAAGTTTAGCGAGCTACATAAAAAGAATACACAAACCTTATTCAGTTTCAAAAAAATGCAAGGCGCGGATCTGCTAAAACCATATTTGTTGAGCTTCGTACATTGTCCCCAACTCGCCATGTCTACATCGCAAACTTTGCCTGGTGGTGCTGGCCTACCGTAATCGCAATTTACTCTCTCATAGTTCGCACCCGGTGATCTTTGATATTCTGTATTGTATGGAAATTATATTTTAAAAATCGTATATTAATTTCATATTGATTAGTTAATAAATATTTGATTCAATAACTGATTAAGTAATATATTAATTAAACAACATTTCTTCAAAATAAATACTCTTGTAGAGTAAATTAATTTGATTTCATTTTTTGCTTTTATAATGAATCATGAAATGATCAAAGTATGTATGTGTGTACTATATGAATTACTATATGAATTTCTTTGGAAAATTCGTGTAGTACAATCACAAATATTTGTTTGTTCACATAAACTATGTTGATATTGAAAGATCGTTTTTGTCAATTGCCTTCTTCATATTAATTGTAAATAATTGTTGTGTACATACATATGATCAGTTTCGTGATACTATATGTTAAAACTGTGCACGCATACACTTCGCTCATGTGTGTCTTTCTTACCTTCCAAGAATTTGTCCAATTCTCTGGTCCAGTGAAGATAATTACCCTCATCGCTAGCCTTGTACCAAATCAAAGTACTTTCGACGTTGCTTTCAGGAGGCATAGGCCTAAAACCGAGACCCGGATTGCTGCCAATCAGCGAATTATCTAGCTGCCACTTCGGTGCGTTCGGATCCAACGTCTGATAGAACACAGCGAGCATCGCACCGAAGAAGCCGGACAGGACGGCATAGAAAATTACGTAGAACAGCAAAATTTTAGCTGAAAATATATTTGCTTATATAAATTTTAATGCCATTAAATCTATAATGCTAGAAATATATTTTCTTTTAGTTTAAAAATAATTTAAATGTCTTTTTTCAGATTCAATTCTTTATCTATTTATCAATTATATATCTATTGACATATGAATATTAATATTAACATATTAATATTCATTAATCTAAACTAAAATTAATCTATAACTAAAAAGATATTAAAACACATAGATATATATCTACACTATATATATATATTATGTAGATATATTTTACTAACCATAAAATTATTTTTTTATTTATAATATAAAATTGTAATTTTAATTTATAATCAAAACAACGGACAAGAATTATTTATTAAAATACATAATGTCATATAGCTCAAAGTAAAGTAAAGTAAAGTATATTAAATAAAATTAATGTAATACGAAGGACTAAGAGCCAAACCAATTCAAATTTAATATAATAACTAATAAATAATACCAAAACAATTGAAAATAAAAACAAACAGATGTTTCAATCTCTTTTGAGTCATTATCAATGTTAAAACGTGTAATAATTATAATTAGGATATAACGGTAATAGCCAAGATTGAGAATAAATACATAAAAAAATATATTATTATACAGACTTCGATTAAGATGTAATCTGAAAGAATGATTCGATATAAAAGTCTCGCATGTAACATTTTATTGGTATTCACAATTTCTGAAAAATCGCAGTACAAGATTTTATGACATAATATGGTAACGCCAATACATAGTTCATAGTAGTCGATAATATCTTATAAGTAGTCAATTGAATGAAATAATAGAAAAATCTATTAATATACAGAAAAAAAATTATTAGTATTAAGTAAAATGAAAAAGTAAATTAGTTTCATGGAATTTAAAATATAAAGTATAAAAAAAAGAAATGTGTACATAATAAATATAAAATTAATACCTTTATAAGTGAAAATGCAAGGTTGGATAATGCTAAGTTAAAAAGTTAAAAATTAAGTTAAAAAATTGAAAAGTTAATTAATTTTAACATTATTTAGTTACATTTTAGACTTTTAACTTTTTAACTTTACTTAGTTTTATCGATAACACTATTAACTTTTAATTTAATTTTTTTGAAATTAACATCAGAGTTGGATAATTATACGGATCCTATACTCCGATTATATGCTTATACATTCGTATCTGTCGATGTATTTTTCTAATTTCAAATAATTTCAAATCTTTCATTTATGTTTAAATAAACGTTAAAAAATAGGTTTAAAAGCAATCCGTCATCATGACCTCTCAGGAAAAAATGTTTCATTAATAATTATATAATTCTATATAATTATATACAAAATATGTCCATGTATATAACATTTTTTCCCGAGCTAAAATCATATTTTCTCGAAAAATATGCAAAAATGCAATTTACTGCTTTGTACAGGGATTATTTTTTGGTATTCCAGAATAATCTGAATAATCACGAAAAGATGATCAATATTCATGAAATATGCGTCTCTCCTTGTTAGTTAATTTTTTAAAATGTCTAAAATTTAATTTTTAAGTTAATTTTTTAACTTAGTTTTTTAATTTAGTTAAAAAAAAGTTAACTTGAAATCATAAAATAAAACAAATTTAATTTTTAACTTTTCAATTACCTTTTTTCATTAATTTAACTTTTAATTAATGGCACTATAAATTAATCTTTTATCTTAACTAAGTTAAATTTACAAGGCTGTTAACTTTAACTTAACTTAATTTTTAAAAAAATTAACTTACCCAACCTTACAAAAATGTGTTGTATAGTGTCATAGTATATTAAAATGTATGTAATAAAGTAAGATCAAGTCAATATATAAAATAGAGATTGGCGTGTAAGCAAATGCAATGATGATCGTTACTGTCTAAAATGCTATTGTAAAATAAGAGTCATATAAGAGTCAAACTAAAGGAAAGAAATATTATCGATATGGAAAGTTTAAAAATAGAAATGGAGAAAAGGAGAAGGAAACTAGGAAGAGGAAAGAGATTGTATAATATAAAGATAGAGTTCATGTAATGATTCCGTGTCATTATATCTATTTAAGCCCTGTTTTCATATCGATATTTTTTTCCTTTAATTTGACTCTCATATGACTCTTATTTTACAATAGTATTTTAGATAGTAACGATCATCTCTATTGCATTTGCTTACATGCCAATCTCTATTTTATATATTGACTTGATTTTACTTTATTATATTTTATTATATACCATGACTACAAAATACATTTTCGCTTATAAAGATATCAATTTTATATTTATTATGTACACATTTCTCTTTTTTACACTTTATATTTTAAATTTCATGAGCCTAACTTACTTTTTATTTTACTTAATACATTTTTGTATATTAACAGATTTTTCCATTATTTTATTCGATTGGCTACTTGTAAGATATATCAACTGCTATGAACTAATTTTGCACAAGATACGTTCTCCTCAAGAGACATTTTTATCTTTATTTATATTTAAATATTATAAATATTTGTGCAAATAACTTTTACGCTTTGAATACAATAAAAAATTTAAATGTTGCATTTAAATGATGCTTCTTTTAATGAGGTTTTTATTGTGCAACATATGAAAAAAGTATATCAAGGCTAATTCTATAAAATCGATCGAAACTACTCGAAACGCGAAAGCTGCTTTATTACGTAACTGCAAATCAAACTTAATTCTTTTGAAACATGCCATCTATTATATAAGATGATATTCAATAAAATTTTTATATTAACGTGTTAATTATTATTATTTATGCCAAAACAATTTTATTTTATGCCGATCGGTATATATTATATATAATATCTTTTGGAACAACGTTTTTGCTTTAATTTTTAAAATATTCATTAAAAATGCGATTATAATATTAACTTAACAACTGTATAACAATAATTTAGCTAATATTTGATTAAAATTTGATATAATATAATTAATGAAAAACCAAAATATGTAGAATATATTATCTAATTTAGAATTAAAATATTGAAGCTAATATATAAAATATATTTTATGAGCGTAACTTCTATTGTTGTATCGTTTGTTAGTTGAAGGCTGGAGCTCCGAGACAATTATGATCTGGCGTCTAATTGACCTGAATTGGTATTAGGTAAGCGATACCATGCGTTTGTTACACAAATCATTGACGAACATATTCTTACGCACGCAAAGCGATATATCTTCCAAGAGATGCATTCTCTAAATTGAAGATATCAATTGTAATTTTATAATTATTATAATTATTAAAAAATGCTTTTAAATGTCATGTTTAACTCTCCGTGATTACACTCTATTATAATTCTCTAATTCATTACATAAATGATATTGCCAGATCTTCTCTCTCGTCAGATTTTAATAAATAAAATTATTTCTAAAATGCAATCAATTATATTTTATTTCATTATGAAAGAATATAAATTACAATATAAATTACAGAGAGAAAAAAAGATTTCATTTTTAAATGGAAATTTTTCGTTTATTTCTATCATTATTAGTTATTTGTTTCTGAACGATAATATACTGCACGTATATAGTTCGCTTAATCGAATAAAGCTTGCGCCGGATCATAATTGCGTTGAACCTTAATATATTCACACTATAATTAAATGGGTAATTACAAAAGTTACAAATTAATTACAAATATATACTCGCGGACGTTCATGACATTCCATTTTTCTCCATCTTTATACCTGAAAGTGATTATTTAATAAACGAATTTTGGGAAAATATAATAACTGGCGATTCTAAAAGCAAAATACACTTTATTTCTCATAAGAAGTATTTTATGAGTTATTCTTCCTAATATAATTATTTTCGAAATATATATACATAAATATTTAATATTACATATCTAATATAAAAAATTTTATATCATATAATATTAAAAAATTATATAACATATATATAATAATAATATATAATTTTTACTGATTATAGCATATTTTATTATATAAATAGAAAAAGAAAAAAAACTCAATATGTAAAAACCATATTATAGTTGATAAGATAAATTGAATATCTCTGCCAAGTCTTCCAAAAGATAAGGTAATTATTCTAATCTTTTAATTCTAATTTTCTAACTAATTTCAAACATCAAGACCGTAAGCTAATACAAAAAAAAATAATAATCAACTCTCTATTATATGTATATCAATAGCTCTTAATGTCAATGGCTGCATATTCACCAAGTCGTTACGGTAACATTTCCATGACTTTTCTCGAGATATCGATCGACACGATATGGAATACAACGATGCGTTAGCACTGACAGTGTGCTATTAGTACTACGTGATAATAATAAATAATGCATGATTACTAATAATGTCAGCTAATTTGTAATATGCCGTGGGATATTACAAATCTCGTTAATTTGCAAAAACTTTTTGTCACTTGTCAAAAAATTTGCAGGATCGAACTGAAATGTAGGACATTCGGCTAGAAAAATCGGCTGCGTTACTAGTGCGCAGACGCTAACACTATCCAGTATAGAAATCAGACCATACCATTTCTGTGAGATGGTAACGGAGACGGCTTGTATTGATTTTGGCGGAAGTCGATCGACCTCAACAGAAGAGCGAAAAGGTAGCGGTAGAGAAAGCGGTGAAAAAGAGATAAATGGAGAAGAGGAAAGATAAAAAGTATAATAAACATAAATGGACTAAAATTATATGAAAAAAATTATTTAAAAAATATGTATCTTATTATAATAAATAAAATATCAAAACATTCAAGAAAGAAAATTTAAAATCGCGACATATATTTTCGATCGCGTAATAAAATACCCGTCAGTTATTTAAAAGAATCACCCTATTGAAAGCTTCTGATACCTTCACTCGTATATTTTCTCCTGTTCCTATTATATCTCAAGCGATAGAATGTAAAAATAGAACAACGGAAGTCTCCAGCGAGGTTGCACCTCTCAATGTACGGATGAAGGAAACCGCAAACTTTGATTTCGTTGCATAAAAAAAAACTTCAAACTAAAACAGATAACAGTAATAGTGAACTCTTTCTATGTATGTTCCCTCCTTACGAAAGAGAGTTTTCATTATTATATATAATATATATATTATATATATCTTTTATACCCCTTGTAATATATAAAAAAATAATAAATTGTAATTATTAATGGTTAAAAATATAAAATAAAAATTACATTGAAATTACAGAAAATGTTCTATTTATCCCATTAAACAAAAACATTTTCAGATATACATCATAAATTAATAATATTATTAAATTATTTATATACGCACATAGAGATTTATAATAATTTATTTAAATATTTTTATTAAAGTAAAAAATTTAATTTTTCATTTTGAAAACGTTTTTAAAAAAATTAAAGAAATGAAATAGATTAAAAATTATTAAGCTTATTATTTGCGTATACAAACTTCTCTTTAATAGTAAGAAGTAAAAAATATTAGCTTGACAAAACAGGATGTGCGTAACAGTACATTTAACTAAGGAGAAATAGCCACATTAAATAAACTACAGTTAGTACTCTGTTGGAAACTTTATATTTGTCACAAGATATTTTCGGTTTACCTTGTATATACGTAAACGAACGGAAATATTTCAGTCTGCATTGGAATCATCGTCGGACCGATTAATGTATTAGTATAATAGTTAGCCTAAAGATAATTTTAAACGTATTTGGCTATTTAAAAAGTTATTTAAAAAGTTAAGTTATTTAAAAAGAAAATATCAAGAAATCTTCAAATCTTACTCGATTATTCTATCTTCGCTTTGTGTTGGTTTCTTTAGTTAGTTTTAGTTTTGTTACGTAATCATCTCTATTAAGAAAATCGCCAATGTAAATTTAATTTTATTTATTTATATAATATATTAAATTTATATAATTTATTAAAAAATATAATTCAGTGTATACTATTATTACTTCAAACTTAATTCCTCCAAAAAAATCTTTAAATTTTGATATCTCAAGTGCTACATAATTTCTAAATTAGTATTCAATTTAAATAAACAATTTATGTAAATTTAAAAATTAACATCAGTTTTTTTATTATTTGCAAAATGCATTCCTCATTTTTGTACTTTTTTATTTTAACTTTATACTTTACAGTCGGTAAGTAATAAAGAGCTATAAAACCTTATGCTGCATATAATACTTTCGATGAAGGAAACTATCTTACGTAACAAGTTCACCAATAGATAAATTTTTGCTTCTATGAATAGTTGCTTTGTATAATAGCATAACGCGTGTTATGACTAATACCATTTCAAGTTATACATTAAGTCACGTTTTTACAAACTAAAAATATGTAGTACAAAGTATGTTACAACAATTCTAAGTATGTAAATTCATATACGTAAACTGAGGTAATAATATTAAGGCTGTGTTCTAAAATTCTCTGCCAGTGCTGAAAATGCATATTGTACATAACCTATACGTAAACTATAGATTTTCAGCGCTGGTAGTGAATTTTGAAATACAGCCTTAATAAATAAAATCATGGATAATCTCACAAGCAAAATTCTCAAATAACTTACAAAAAATAAAAGTTTCATATCAACTTTATCGATCATAATTATTGTACTGAGTAAAAATAATATTCACTTTTTCCCTCTCTCTCTCTCTCTCTCTCTCTCTCTCTCTCTCTCTCTCTCTCTCTCTCTCTTTCTAGTAAACATCAATTCTTGAAAATACTCAAATAAAATATTTTATAAATTTATTGAATTTACTTAATTTAATAAATATTAAATTTGTTAAATGTTTTACTGTATTTAATTACTTAGTCTCAACTTTTAACAAATATTTTAACATTATTATAAAACAGATATATCTAAAGATAAATAGAAATTTACATTGATACGTCAATAAATTTAGATCAAGTAAAAATTACAATTTAAATTGCAATAAATAATTGGCATATTATATAATATATAAATTAAAAATTTTTAATTGTATTTTACATATTATTGTTTGTGCATATAAAAATAAATTGCTATAACAGTAAAGAAAAATCGCGACAAAATTTTCCGATCTAAGAAATGTCATAGTGACACACACAACTACTATCCTCTATGTATTATTACGTAATGAGACTTCGTCATATATAACCTTCGACTATTCGTATCTTTTGAAATTTTCATATCTTTCATACTTAATATTAGTTAACAAAAGTTGATTTACTAATTTTTTATATAAAGATAAAATGTGAAAGATGAAACAATAAAAAGATACATTACAGATATATTTAATGCTATTAATTTAACAAGCGTTAACTCTAGTGAAAACACATATTTTTCTAATTTCTGATATCGAATAATTTTTTAACTTTTGATTTTACATAACTTGTTTACATAACTTTGATAACATTCAATATAATAGAGAAGAAAGAAATTTATTTATAAGAGAAATTCATTGGAAAAGTTGTATAAATCATTGTGTAATATTGATACAGATTTAGCATGTAATTCTTGTCTCATATTCTTCTTATTTTTATTAATACACATTTTTTAATAGTTTCACCTTAATTTTATCACCGTAACGCTGAATAATGTAAAATACCAGAACTGACGGTAAACATTCTAATCTAATAAACTATGGCTGCATTCCAAAATGTACTGCCAATGCTTGAAAATCTATAGTATGTGTAATGTAAATTATAGATTTTTAGCGCTGGCAGTGAATTTTGGAACACGGCCTTGTTACATTTATATTGACTATGTCATATATTTTGATCGATAAATTTTACAATAAAAAATTTTTGAACATTTCATAAAAAGACATTTAAAAAAAAATATCTTTAAAACATCTTTTAGACATGCGTATTATTTAGAACTAATCTCCCTTCAATTTTGCACGTTCGATAATAATAATAATAATAATAATAATAATAATAATAATAATAATAATAATAATAATAATAATAATAGCTTTATTGAGATGCAGAACAATAAAAAAAATCTTGGTATAGGTCAAACGAAATGTAATGGAAATAATTCGAAGTAGATCGAGTCGAAGAAAACGAAAATGGAAAATTCCGTAATAGTATTAATTTCGACTATTGTTATTAGAGAAATTAGATTGTAAATAAATTATTTCAAACGTATTTTGTAAAACAAGTTCAATATATACATTCTAGAAAAATTCTAAAAATTTAGTGCACGAAAAAGTGTGTTGAAATAATTTTTGTAATTTCCTTGGCAAATACGTTCCATAATTGGATCATAATGCTGTCAGAATGCATGTGATTTTCTTGCTTAACTTGTCATTTGTCATGCAAAGTGATACGAATGAAATAGTATGATGTATAATATAAATATGGAAACAATTTGAATGATAACGGTTTTCAGTAAGCAATATACTATCTAATCTACACTCACACACGGATTGGTCGAACCGCTACTCAGTTCCACAACTCACGGTTAACTCTTAATCGAGGTTCAACTTGTATCTCATTTCTTTCCAATTCTAGAATTGAAATGAGAAATAAATTGAACTTCGGGGGGGGGGAGTTAAGAGTAAACCGTGAGTTGTGGAACTGAGTCTTAGATTACTTTTCACGTCTAAAGATATTCTTTACGATCGAATCGTTAAAGACATTACAGTGACGTAACAAAATACAAAGGATTAATCCTCTACGACCTATAATTTCCACAAATAACGTATTACCCTACTTATATCTATATTTTTAGTATCAAAAATTTTACAATACTAAGTACTACGTGACTTTAAGGTAACATTAGGATATCTCGATTCTCTTTATTAATCAAAATTTGATAATTGGAGTCAGCATTTATCTCCCAGAAAATAATCTTGCGCACAGAGGGGCGGGTCAAAAACGCAAGGACTCAAGGGGAGAGAAGCTGATATTAGAATTTCTAAAGAGAATATTATATTGCCGTTTAAAAAAACTCACCCCAACTAGCGCCAGTGCGGCCCAGGAATTGTCCCGTTTCGGAGTTCCAGAGGAAGACGCGGAAGCCCTCCCATTTCCCAAGCTTTGGCGGCGGAGAGTAAAACTGCTCGACTTTTTTGCCCTCCATCTCGCTCTTACAGCGACTCCCGACGGGGTGAGAAAAATCGAGTGCGAGAAGAAAGGGTGGAACTCCGGGCGACAGCAGAAGATGTGAGAGAAGAACGCGCTGCCACCCGAAGAGCGTGCTGATCCCTCTCGAGGGCTCGAGGACTTCCTTCCTCCGGCGGAACGTTGGCCGCGATCGAACAGCTCCGCGGGCGAGGGCGCAAAGGAAGGAACGGTCGATTCGTGCCCCCGTCTGGAGGAGCCGCTGCTGTCGGGCGCTCTCGTCCGGCGAAGGGTTGAATATTGAGCGATCGAGGCTGGCCCGACCCCCGCGAGAGAGGGTCTTCAGTACCTATCCTTCCACCACTCTCCACCACTCTCACCCCCTCGCCTCTTCACGACGCACCCTCTACGGCAGCAACGCGCCGGCGTGACCACGCAGACGCGTCAATACGTGATTTCCTTAGCACCCCTCCCGCGGCACATGATCACCCTTGTTACCCATCTCTTCCTCTCTCCCCCTCGTAAAATCCGAGACCAGGTGGCTCCCCCACCGACAATCACCGACAATGGCGGGCGATGTACCACGCAATGACGATCTCGCGACCAATCCCCCGCTGATTTCGGGCCTCCCCGGCCGTTTCGTTTTAGGTGCTTTCGATCGACCCCCGTTCCGCGAAAACGCGACTGTTCAGAACAGAGCTTATGCGACGCGATGCGCAGTCGGCTCGCGTATGCGTATTAAGTCTTCTGCAAAAAGATGGATAGAGAAGGGAGAATGAGACTTAGGAAGGGTGAGGAATGCTATCGAGAACGTGTGAGCGAGAGGGGATAAAGGGGAGGAAAGCAGATAATGGGTCACGTGGAGTCTTCGACTACCGCGCGACTGCGAAAGCTCGAGTGGGAATAAACGGTTCGGTATTTTCCTCAAACTGTATTCATTACCGAAACACTGTTGCAATTATCCTCCAGTGATACGCACAGCAATGTTATACTCCGATAACATATCCGATGACGTGTACGATGTAGTACTTTATGAGCAACTTTTTACACGTCCATTCCGAAGTTATTGTCAACTGACATACTTATATTTAATCTTAATCATCGTCAATTTCGAAATCAGCAAAAGTATTACAAAATAATTTTGATTAATGTTTTCATATATTATAACAAATATAATATAAATATATAAAGAAAATCTTCATATAATAAATATTATAACATATTGTAAATAATGTAATAAGTATGTAAAATTGTAATTTTAAATAATGCAATTTGTTTAAACTAACAGTTTTATTGATATTAATCCTTTTATGTAACTTTTGGAATATTCTAATATTTATTTTTCTATTTCAAAGCTATCAATTAATAATAACATAGCTGCCAATTATGACAATTATTATCGAGTAATTGTTAATTAATGTATCGCAATTAGGTCAATTAGAAAATAGATTAACGATTTACAAGATTTTTCACGAATGTTCTATAACAAATTATTGGTTCTAATAAATTTTCAAACAATACTACTTATATTTCTTCAAAAATACAGTAATGTAAAATGAGCTTTTTAAATTGGAAAAAAATTGATAATTATTGCTGAAATTATAATTTATTGCTTGGCAATAATAATTTAGATTCAGTTAAGTTTATCAAGAGCAAATTTTGAATGTTATTTTTATAAAGTTTTATAAATAAATAGATTCACACGCACGCAATACTTACGTGTAAAAATAGTTAAATTTAAATTTAAAAAAATTGTATTGTTAAAGTATTCAATACGTTTTCTAATTTAATTAAAAATTTAATTCATCCACCTGTAATCAGTGTAAAGCGGTGTCTACATTGAGATTTTAATTAACTTAAGCATTGCTTGTAAATCACGTTTGATGTTATAGCGTTTTGAAATTAATGATAATGCCATACCAAACACAAGCTGTTATATAGCTTATTTTTACGTGATCTTTTCCTAAAACTGAAATGTCAACTGATATGATTAAATTAATATTAATATTAACTTAATATTATTAAATATACTGCTCTAAGCATCTCGTATTTCCGCACCTTAGAATTAAAGCGCATATACCTTTCTGACTAGGCATTTTTATTAATAGGCCAGCAAGAATCTAATGATATTTTTCGCGATACACAATTATACCACGAAAAATATTACTATTTCCAATGGATGCGGACCAATTTAAAAAAAATATAAATAACGTAAGTACGGCATAAGTAAATATGACAATTTCATCGGGCTTCGACTTGACTTCGACTGGATATTAATTTTTTAATTACAAATATCATTTAATTTTACGTGCTTTAAAACCAAAATGCGAATTTATACGTAAAATTATATTAATAATTAATTGATAATCATATGTACTAACGAGCACAATAAACCTTAATATTTATAACTTTGAAATTATAATAAATTTGATATTAAACTTTGAACTTATAATAAATTTGATATTAAACCGATTATTTGTTATACGATCGAAATTGTCATATTTATTTATTTTATGTTATACACACACACACACATCATTAGGTACTTACTTTTATTATTAAATGTGATTGATTTTGGATTAAAGTTTCTAGTATAAATTTTTTTCAGCTCGATTTACGCATAAAACTTCATTTTTTGTATAATTAAAATTTTTAAGTATCAAAATAATCAGTTCTATAGCGTAAGAGAAATGATAAAAAAAAGGAATTTACTAAGAAAAAAAATTATTAGTCGATATATAAAGTACATTTAAATATTTCCAATAATATAATTACGTTTACAGGAATATAATTACATTTAAGTATTCGCGAAGATTAAATACATACTAACAATAAGCTGTACGCACTTAAAAGTAAGGCTTTCTTATTTCTTTAGAAGAGTACGCTCTTAAAATTCTAGATTTTTTTCTTTTATTTATAATTTTATTATTTTTACTATACATCTTGTACTCCCTTTACATTTTTGTGACAAATGCGTAATCTAATCTAGAATATCTCGTGAATTTCCTTTTTGATTGATCATTTCTATAAAGTTTTTTTTTTAATTCATCCATATTCACAACTTATGAACAGTAATATGCATTATTCACAGTCGCTATACAAATTTCGTTCGACACATTTTGTTGATATATATTTAACAACGGACGTAATCAACTTGTCTTAACACTCGAGAAGTCAAAGCGATTATTTTGACCCCTATCAAATTTTTAACTAGTAACCTTGATATTATTTGATAGAATCTTGTACTCTTTTCTATCATTTTCCAGCCATTGTGCTCTTAGATATTTCATAGCTCTTAGAAAAATTTCAATGCCGAAACGACTCGAAAAATCAAAATATGACCTTAAAAGGATATAAAAAATGAAATCATGATGAAAATTATTCAAATCAATGTTGAAATATATTATTGATTTTATTTTGAATTTGTAATTGTCTGGAAAAGAATAAGGAATCGCGAAGATCAAGCCCTTCCTATCAACTTTTCTAGCAATTGTATATACATACACGACATATCGTCTTTCTAATATTCTTGTAATTTTTAACAGTAACAGGAACTGCAACATCTAATGCCCAATCGTCAACCCTTTTAATATTTAGGGCTGGTTTTACAAACAAGCTAGGGCTAATATTTTTCCAGGAACAATATTTCGGCCATTGATCTTTCCTCGCAAAAATTTATCCAAATGCGAAAAAAATGCTGCATCCAAGAACTATGGAAATGATTAGCGCGAAGTGTATAACGGATAGAATTATCTAATAACGTATTCGATTAGACGCACTCAGTGCGCACTGGTGCATATTAAAGACGTCATATACAAAATAACGTAAAGATATGTTTATAAATAAACATAAAAATCGATTAAATCGTGAAATATTCAATACATTTTATTGTACTATTAAGTAAAATATGTAATAATATGTATTATGTAAAATATATAATATTTCATCATTCGAAATACTTGCATTTTATTTTTCTACTCAAAATTAAATCAGTGTACAATGGCTTTAATATGCACCAATGCGCATTAGTGCTTCCAATCGAATTCGCCATAATATCTTTCAGATTTATAGTGAATGGAGAATGTCAACAAAGAGTTAATTTGGTTTTAACAAATACTTCATGTAAAACTATATATTATTCATTTTTTATATTAGATTTCTTGACAACAATAAGCTTTGTTAAAAAAGTTTATATGTCAAAATTTTGCTTTTTTTTACATTCTTTACAGGCCAAATTCGTAAAAAATGTTTTCTACATTATGCTTTGATTTTCAAGCAGTTTCCATTTCTCTTAATTATATTCCTAATGTCGCTTACTTGCTACGATTGATTAAAAAAACAAAGTTTTTCAGAAAATTAGTCTGAATGTTTCAAATAATTAAAATTTTCTAATAAATTTTAATTTTAAAATATAATTTTGATATAATTATTGATTATAGAGGAATAAAATTATGTTCTTTTAAGGTATATTTTTTTTATATTTGTTTTTTTTTTGCAAACTAAAAAAATAATTTTTGAATTATGCCGTTATTGTGTAGCAAATTTAAGCGGTATATATTTAATAAAATTCAGTTATAATATAATGAGAAGGATGTGTCACAAATCAATCAATCGAAAAAAATATGCAGCTTACTTTCAAATCGTAAAGCCTCACCGGACATTTAATATTAAATTTGTTTCATTGTTTCTCGATTTGCCTGTTATATAGAAATCACAGTGATGCAAATGTGAAACGACAACAATATTATTTCTATTACATTGTTTATACAATTAGGAGAGGCAATTTTTGTTGACAACTTCTAGTTATTGACCAAATACATTATTTTATTAAACGAAATTTATTTAACTTGATACCTTCTATTGATAATCGGTATAATTTAATTTCATTTAATAACATTTTGCCATAATAACGAGTTTGACAACTGAAAAAAATTAAATAAAGTCTGAAGGCATTTTACATATTTCGGAAAATGTCCGATTTGGCTTATCAACGCTACATAATAATAGCATTTTAGTCGTTTCCGTAACTTTCTTACAAACAGCACAATTTCCTCCATTTTTTATCGGTTTCTCTTTATCTAGTTAATATATTTTCCAACTATTTTGTTCATTGCTATATCTATCGTCTTTCATTTTTGTTTTCTTTTTTTAATCAAAAATCACTTTTGCGTATTGCGACCGTTCGTACAAGAAAATATATGATTCTGTGAAGAGGAAAGTCTTCGTCTTTAAGATTCAACCATAAAAGTTCGTCCATGTAC